GGAGGCGTCAGGGCCGTGGTTCCCTATCCCGAATGGGAGGTGAATGGAAGGTCAGTTGAAGGTGAATGGAAGGTCAGTTGACGGTGAATGGAAGGTCAATTGAAGGTGAATGGAAGGTGAAGGAAAATGCAGCCTTTTAGAGGTAGCTCTACATCCCACCTAGCACCTGCCGAGAGAAAGTGTTGAGATAATTTAAAGAAACGTGCAGAGCAGCGTCCTGGACCAATAGGGAAGAGTTGAGCCTCAGTGACCCGCCTTCCTACAGGTAGATCAGCCGTCATGCCGGTCCTTGGGGCCCTCCGAGGAAAGTGCCTGACGGGGACGCGGAGAGCGTGGCTCCCGCGGGGGAGGGGCCCTCTTCACTCTCTTAATTGGACCAATGTTTCAATCGCATCTGAAATGTCAGGCGGAGCTGCTCCTTGTTATTGCCAAGGTGACCCGCCTTCCTACAGGTAGATCAGCCCTCACGCCGGTCCTTGGGGCCTCCGAGGAAGGGGACGCGGAGAGCGTGGCTCCCTCGGGGGAAGGGCCCTCTTCACTCTCTTAATTGGACTAGCGTTTCAGTCGCATCTGAAATGTCAGGCGGAGCTGCTCCTTGTTATCCAGGGATCCATCTACCGATAAGACACGGGACCCAAGCGGGGGCTGTAACCCGGCGCGGGCCGTGCATTATTCATCCCATTCGATTCACGGTCTTGGGAAGCTTGTCTCCGTCTTCACAGGCAGATGTGTGACCACCTCCATGCTCACCGTCAGAAGGAAATGAAGAGAATGTGCAAAACCCCCGATAACTTCGGGGAATTGTCACTTCCCCCGAGCCCCCAGATACCGCGTCTGGTTAGAAATTGTCCGATAGCCGCCTTCATCCCCGGCCAGCACCGCAGTGAGGACACAGGCTGGGGCGCCGTGATGAGCTCCGAGGAAGCCGCTAGAAAGAGGCGGAGCTGGGATCTGAGGTCGTCACAGCCCCGACTCTCCCCCACATGACACTCCACCGGGCAGCGGAAAGGCAGAGGCGCTGGGAATAGTCAGGTCGTGGCGATGCTCATAGAACTTGTCATGGTTTCCCATGACGCCCCAATAAAATGTGAGTTTTCGCGGGGCCCTCGCTGGTCCAGCCTTACCATCCACCACACTCAGCCCGCCCCTGGTCCTGGCACACAGCGTCGGCCCCCCTGGGCCAGGCCAGGACCTCGGTGCTTGATGTTCTGCCTCACGGCGTCCGTGGCAGTGGGCACCCTGCCTTTCCCAGGGACGGTTAGGAAGTAGCTGCTACACAACCACTTTGAGCTTCACCCCAAAGACAGAACCCTCCTCACCCCCCTCCACCAAGAGCCTGGAGGGAAGACTTTGTCCCCAAAGACAGTGGCTCAGAGACCCCAACTCAGAGCCCCTCCTCGCGGGTTGTTGAGCAGATAACACTAAATCCAGACCCAGGGGCCTGCTGCAGGGAAAGCACCCCAGGCAGCCCTTGCTGTGGGCGGCGGCCGCGGCTGCAGAATCGTGCCTGGTGCGGGCTGCTCCCAGGAGAGGGCTCCCAGGAGAGGTCAGCTCGCTCAGGGCCCCAGTACTTCCTCCCGGGCCCCGGCGGTCACCAGAGCTGACTTCGCTCTGCGGCAGGACTAACTGGCAGCTACGGCTGTGTCCCCTGTGCTCAGGTGTCTCATAGTCGGGCTCTCACCTCATTTAATTTGCAGGACTAGCGGCTGAAAGTAATTTCTGGACTATGACTATGACAGCTGTTGTGGGGAGCAGTCATTGCTGCGATCGAGTTACCCTCCTTTCTCGGATCACTTTCCGTGTGATCTGTTCGCGAGTTCTGTTCCTGTGAATAGTAAGGCAGCACAACCTGCAGTCATCGAACCAAACGCATTGAGACGTGAAACGGCCGGTGAGTTTTCGCGGGGCCCTCGCTGGTCCAGCCTTACCATCCACCACACTCAGCCCGCCCCTGGTCCTGGCACACAGCGTCGGCCCCCCTGGGCCAGGCCAGGACCTCGGTGCCTGATGTTCTGCCTCACGGTGTCCATGGCAGTGGGCACCCTGCCTTTCCCAGGGACGGTTAGGAAGTAGCTGCTACACAACCACTTTGAGCTTTACCCCAAAGACAGAACCCTCCTCACCCCCCTCCACCAAGAGCCTGGAGGGAAGACTTTGTCCCCAAAGACAGTGGCTCAGAGACCCCAACTCAGAGCCCCTCCTCGCGGGTTGTTGAGCAGATAACACTAAATCCAGACCCAGGGGCCTGCTGCAGGGAAAGCACCCCAGGCAGCCCTTGCTGTGGGCGGCGGCCGCGGCTGCAGAATCGTGCCTGGTGCGGGCTGCTCCCAGGAGAGGGCTCCCAGGAGAGGTCAGCTCGCTCAGGGCCCCAGTACTTCCTCCCGGGCCCCGGCGGTCACCAGAGCTGACTTCGCTCTGCGGCAGGACTAACTGGCAGCTACGGCTGTGTCCCCTGTGCTCAGGTGTCTCAGAGTCGGGCTCTCACCTCATTTAATTTGCAGGACTAGTGGCTGAAAGTAATTTCTGGACTGTGACTATGACAGCTGCTGTGGGGAGCAGTCATTGCTGCGATCGAGTTACCCTCCTTTCTCGGATCACTTTCCGTGTGATCTGTTCGCGAGTTCTGTTCCTGTGAATAGTAAGGCAGCACAACCTGCAGTCATCGGGAGCCTGCAACCCGGGCATGCGCCCTTGACTGGAATTGAACCCGGGACCCTTCAGTCCACAGGCCGACGCTCTATCCACTGAGCCAAACTACTTCAGTTTTAAAGTTATTTTTTAAAATTTATTAGAAACATTTGGTAAAATAATCGAGGCACGGTTGCTAGTCACCGTAGTGATTTTCATTTCTCTGCAGCAAGAGTCCGCTGGGCCTCACGTCCCCGAGGCCGGCAGGGCCAGGACACGGGGCTGTGGGACAGGGTTGCCAGGCAGGGACCGGAGGACACACCCTGGAAAGTGCTTGGAGACGTGGACCGACCCATGTTTGCTCCCTTGCATCACGCGGGTCCTGTGTAGGCACGAGCCTGGCTGTGTCAGCGCCCGCCTTTGGGAAGGGCCGTTGTGTCCGCGCGCGTTGAACTATCCGCCCGGTGCTGAGATAGTCACTGTTTTTTCCAGATCGACCCCAACAGCATTGCGGCCCAGGACGGGCGCATCCGAGAAGGCGACCGCATCATCCAGGTAGGTTGGTCTCACCCCTGCCTGTCCGTGAAGATCAAACTGGTTGTAGTGACAGCTCAGGGTTAAAGAACGAGGCCCACAAACCAGGGGTGTAGGGAGGCCAGATGAGTTAACTTAGTGGGTGAAGCCCAGCCCTGGACAGTAAATGCACGGGAGTGGTGAGGACAGAGACAGTGGGGACAGGGCACCCCGTCAAGAGGGCAGCGCCCCACACCCCAGCAGGAGCTAGCTCACCTCGTGCTCTGAGCTACTGTGTTTAGATCGGTCGTGACATTCCTCACTATGAGTGATTTTGTCATTTTCCACTGCTTATTCGACATTCCTCAGACTTCAACCCATCCTCAGCTGTTCAGGAACCCTGATCTGGTGGAGTGCCCCCAGACCTTCAGGACGGCTCAGCCTTCCTGTGGTTGCTGTAAGGTTTCCAGCAGCCTCTACCACTGGGCAGTCCCAGTCCACGCCCCGTGGTCTCAGCCACCCCATTTCTCCTTGGTAACGAGATCCATCACCCCAGCCGTGGAGTCAGCCCTCCACGGGCCTGTTGGGCACAGGCGTAAGGAGTTGGTGGGAGGCTCATTGGGACCAGCCATGTCCCCTGGAGGAATCGCCCACCCTGGGGCTGACACCTCCAGACCAGCAGAGCCCCAAATTCTGAGGACAAGAAGCCGAACTCCTGCGGGAGGGTTACCAGGGGTGATGGTGAGAGAGCCCCTCCCACTGACCGTCTGTCCTGCCCGAGGCTGGGACCCAGACCCCTTTACAATCCCATTTCCTTCTCTGCCCTCAGCTTCCATAATGTTCCCATCAGACCTGCCACTGCTGCTTCTCCCGTGTTAACCCTGAAACACCTGTAATAACCCTTCATGTTTCCCTTGTACTCCTGCCCGAGTCTCACGTCTGAGTGAGTTGCTCACGTGTTCCTCTTCACACGCTCCGTTCACACGGCCTCCACGGTGCCCTGGCCTTGGACACCGGGGCTCCGTCCCGGGCCAGCGCTGCATGCGTCCAGGCACGGCCCCCTGAGAATGAGCATGCTCTCCGAGCTCCGCGGACCTTCCATGTCCTCGCCCCAAGTGGGTAACAGATGGAGCAGCGCAGCGTGATTCTGCGTGATCCACTTCTGCGTTTGTCCGCCCTCCACCTTCTTTTTTTCATTTTTTTTTTAAGATTAACGGGATAGAGGTACGGAACCACGAAGAGGCTGTGGCCCTTCTAACCAGTGAAGAAAACAAGAACTTCTCCTTGCTCATCGCGAGGCCCGAGCTCCAGGTGAGTCCACTTCCTGAGCACAAGGCTGGGCCTGTAGTTCTAAACCAAAACCCAGAGTCCCTGTCCCTGCAGAACACCGCCCCGGTATCGGGTCCGAGCGTGAAGACCCCGTGCCCTGGAAAGGTAGTCTCACTGAGATCAGGATCTGTTTGACGTGCCCGCCGCTGAAGGAGGGTGCCAGTAGCCACCCTGGCAGTTCTGCTGGCCCGGCAGGGATTAGAAAAGGGAGAAGAGGAAAACGTGGAATGGCAAACACCAGGGTCACGACCTTCAAGATGTTAGAGGTCAAGACCTGACCAAGGTCCCAGCCTGGCGCTGTGTCTCACTCACACCTGCAGGGGGAGCACCGCATGGGCCTGGATTTGTGATACTGCCCTGACGCCTGGAAATGGGCCGAGAGAGTTGATTGCAGGTGCTCTTATCACGCAAAAAAGGGACTGTGAGGTGGCGTTAATTAGCTTGACTACTGTAAGGATTTTAGTACGTTGATCAAATCATGATGTCTACCTTAAACAGAACAATTTTTATTTTATTTTTTAATGACTCACCACACCAAGGTGATTCCTTGTCCAAGGGGCTTAATGTGGCCTCTTTAGGGAAGGAGCAAATTGGAATAAACTCTGGCTTCAGGGTGTCAGCAGAGGAGGTGATGCTTAAATTCCTTGGCCTTCCTTTGGCTGCCTACATCTAAGAGAGAGAGAGAGAGAGAGAGAGAGGGAAACATTGGTCAACAGACTCTCTATTAAAACAAATATAAAGGCCAGATTTGTCACATGGGCTGCCGATCAAGGGCCCCTGAAGAGGCTGCTCTTCCTGGACAAGAAAGAGGGGGCCCTGCTGCTTGTGTGGGGCCGGCCCTGCACCTCAGCCTGAAAGTAGCTGATGTGAGAGAAGGGGTTCCACCCTGCAAAATGAACCGGCAGACACTGGGGACCCCCCCACCCCCCAGACATGGGGTGAGGCGGGGCGTTTCCTGGAATATAGCGAACAACAGGCAGACTGCCCTGGGAATGTTTTTCCCCGAGGAAATGTCTTTTCTTTAAAAATATGAATGAGTTACGTGAGAGCAAGAGCACTCTCCTCTGAGGCGTGTGCTGGCTGCCGCTTTTCCGCAGCTGGACGAGGGCTGGATGGACGACGACCGCAACGACTTTCTGGACGACCTGCACATGGACATGCTGGAGGAGCAGCACCACCAGGCCATGCAGTTCACCGCCAGCGCGCTGCAGCAGGTAAGGCCCGCTGCCCTCGCTGTCCTTGCCAGGCCACGCCCAGCCCTCACCAGGCCACGCCCATCCATCCCCACCTAGCCCAGCCCTCACCAGGCCACGCCCAGCCATCACTGCCTAGCCCAGCCCTCGCCAGGCCACGCCCAGCCATCACCGCCTAGCCCAGCCCTCGCCAGCCTTGCGGGCGGCCCAGCTGCAGGAAACCGCTCCCTGTCTCCCTTAGAAGCTACTAAGGACCATGGGAGGCCCCACCTGGAAGGCAGCAGGGACACCGTGCTTGTCCTTCTGGCCTGAGGGAAGCGCTGCCCTGCACTCAGAGAACTGGGGAGGGACCACTGACCTTCCACGTTGGCGGGGAAAACACCTGTGGGGGCGGCGTGGATGTAGAGCAAAGACATAGTCACGTTTTCAAAAGTGCAGCCCTTCCCCGTTTAACCTGACCTGCCCCTGTGCCATCTATGCCACCACCACTGTCCTCCACGCCCCACTGACCGGGAGCTAGAGGTGGCCCTGTGCTCTGGGTCATGCATCCAGGCCAGGCGACGGTCACCTCACTTTTCCGGTGGCATCAGTGGTCGCCCAGGCGGGTCTGGCTAATGCCCAGGCCCTGTCCTAGTCCTCACCTGTGCCGAGTGGTGGAGGCCCGCCCCGCCGCAGAGCCTTGTCCTGCAGGAAGAGGTCACAGGTAGCGGCACCAGGCCCCTCGCCGTGACCGGAGGTTCTTGTTTTGTGCAGAAGAAGCATGAGGAAGACGGGGGGACCACGGACACCGCCACCATCCTGTCCAACCAGCACGAGAAGGACAGCGGCGTGGGCCGCACGGACGAGAGCACGCGCAACGACGAGAGCTCGGAGCAGGAGAACAACGGCGACGAGGCGGCCGCGCTGGCCGGGCAGAGGCCAGGCACGGGCAGCC